TATTGTCTGTGACGCAGAAACGCGATGCGATCATGATTTTTCGAGCGAATTTCTCGGACGAATTTCGCCCGAATTTCGACAATGGCGGCGCGTCATTGAGCTTACGCCGCGATTCGAAACCGGTCGACAACACTGAGATATCGAACTATCATGAAAGGTCGTTTATTATTTCCTTCCGTTTCTTCTTACGTCGAATCTTACATTAAATTACACGCTCTGTTTTTCAATTGTTTTCCAATGTCTCAACTTGCCCCCCCGATTTTTTAAATTAGGAAAACAAACGAATGAAAGGAACGTCTTCGGAAAATTTGAGATTATTATTTAAAAATAAATGATTTTTATACAATTTTTGATTATGAATTACATTTTATAATTATATTACATAATTATATTTCACAGTGATAACATTATCTTTATGTAATCTATGTAGAAAATATTTTAATTTTTATTCTATAATTCTTTGTGCTTGATTTAAAACTTCTTGACATCAAAATAAGTATTATTATCAGATTATTGTCAAATCATATGTATTATTATCAGATTATTGAAATCAAATCGGTCAAATCAATGACCGATATAACAAAGAGGTATATGCCAATTGAAAATTTCTAAATATATTTTCTGTAATCATTATTACATCATTATTACATCACATTATTACATCAATCGAATATCGTAAAAATTTATAAAGATGATATGTAAAATAAAATTTTAACAATTAATAAAATTTCAATAATTTTCTTAATTGCACTTTATATTGCAAAAACATATGTCAGACTCAAAGAAATCAAATTTAAATAAATACCTTTTAAATTGATATTTAAAATCGTAAAAAAAAATAATAAAAGAATAAAATAATAAAATAAAACAATATGAATAAAAGTAATAAATAAAATGACAAGATACACACAAACAGTAACATAAATCTTTTTTTAATATATACGATAAATAAATTAAAAATGTATCACACAATACGTTTTTTGATTGCCTTCGTGTAATCACATTATCATTGCAAAAAACATTATCATCATAAATTTTTCCATTTTAATTTCCGTCTATTTATTCCATTTCAGTTTAAATTTATCTCGCTACATTTTCAACTTCCACCTATCTTCAAATATCTTGTTTGAAAACAGCCGATAAGGACGACGAAATTTCGCATCGGCGTTCTCCAAAACTACGTACGTCATCGATGTCGGCGGAAAATTTACGGCTAAAATGCGGGGTTGATAGGTTAAACTGCAAATCATAATGATTATCGGAACGCGCTTTCTGAAAATGCCTATCCAAGCAAGGTAAGGGCATTCGTGACACCGAGTGCTTACATGTCCGAGAGCGGTTTTCGCCGGCGAGCGGACGGCCGGGAAGAGGGACGGGAGCTGCCCGTCAACAATTCACTCACGGCACTTGATCGTGGGGAGAGTGGGGACTTCACTATAAGAAGATAAATGACAGTACACCGAGTCAGTTTACGGTTGGACCACCGTGCACACGAGATATCCGAGCCTCGAAAATCTCCAAAGTGCTTCCTCCTTCCGCGTCCCGCTCCGTAAGCTTCACCGTCGCGGCGTATTCCAGAATTTTTCCAGACTCCAAGCAAGAGGAGAGACACCGAAGAGGTAGGTCCTGAATTTAAATTTTGTCTCGTCGATCATGTCGCGTCCGAAAAACGGGACACTCGGGAAAAATCTGACACTTGTTGCTGACCTCCGGTTTCCGTCGTCGACGTCGCTTCCGCGAGCACTTTGCTTAAAAATGCAACGTTTAACAAAAATTTACGGCCAAAATTTTTTTTTTACAAAGTAACTTAATGGCGATATGATTTCCGGGAGGGATCCTCAAAAAGTTCGTGACGCATTTAAAATTGCATCTCGGTTTCGTATTTTGCGAACATTACCGCTAAATGCAACTTTATTTACAGTTAAATTTTTTACAGTTAAATTTACAATTAAATTGCACAAGAAGACTGAATGACTTTGATATTTTGTAATATAAAATCGACATATGATGATTTCGTAATGTCTGACAAATATCGCAATGAGCCAATAAATTCGGCAAAAACGTAACGTTGGCGTTTATATTTTTTTTAACGAATATTTAACACAAAAAAATTTGATTATGTTGACTTGGGATTTCTAGGATTTTTCCAAGCGTAGAATCAAGTGTGCATCTACCTACATTGCTTATATAACTTTCACTGACGATATCCTGTTTCTATTGCAACAATGAATGCAGCCTAATAATTTCTGAGCGAATAAATCGGTAGTTTCAAATAACATTTTATTAAATTCGACGTTATACGACGAAATGAAATGTTTAATAATAACAAACCGTGCTTCACTGTAATTTCCGTAGGTACTATTTTCCTATCGCGTTCTAATTACAAGTTAATAGATTTTGTCTCTAAAATGGAAAATATTGGCTATTTCACGATTGACGTAAAATAAATCAAGTTATTCCTTATAAAATTTAGATTCAGAATTTTCATTAAACTATTTAACTATTTATAATTTCCATGAAACTATTGAAATACTAATGGTTTTTTAATATAAAATATGAATCATTACAAACGAAAGATGTCATCAAGTCTTAAAAATAAGAAATCAATAATAAAATAATACTGATTGTTCTATAAAAAAAGTAGAACTTATAAGTAGAACTTTTTCATTTAACACTTGATTTCTTCACTTGAATACAATTTAGAAAATAAAAAATTTACTATTAACTAATTAACTATTCTTGATATTTTTTTAAAAAATTCCAATTATTTATTTTCTAGGATTTTTTTATTTGCTCTTTTAATAAAAATGTAGAAACTATAATTCTCTCATTAATTAAATTCTTAATATTTAATTAAGTCAAATCTATATATTTTTAAATAAATAGTATGGTAATGTAGAACGGACAATATAAAAAGTTTCATAAATTTCCACATGAATAAATTTTTAAGATTAATTAACCGCGATAAAACAATTAAAATAGGAGACACGTTTTTGTATTTTATATCGCACCTTTTTAGATATGAATATTTAAAAGTATATTAATCATCGAGAATAATTTCGATTATCAGCACTCATCACACTTGCAAGATATTTAACAGTCGATAATTATTTGCCAAAGATACCGGTTTATATCATATAAAAGTCACTACAGCTGCAATCTCAATAAGCAGAAAAACATATTTGCGATGCTTGTCAAGTCGTTATAAGTGTATATTATCAGATTGAACGTTTCGACCACATATAGAATCTTCTTAGAAAATGCAATAATTATCGGTAATTAGTAGTAGAAAACAGAAGTAGTAGAAAAATATTACAATTAGTTCTGCGTACGGGCGATCGGAGTATCGCTGCTGAATCACGAACGACGGACGATTCCACTCTTTAATCATGTAAATAAGGTGTTCAAGGGCTCCGTTTGTTCAAGGATAACATGTCGGTCAACTTCAGGAGCGTTCTCATAAGCGATCCCGTGGACGAGTCTTGCGGAGCACTGCTGGCCGAGTACGGGATTCCGGTTATCACCAAGTACAAGTTACCGAAGGATGAGCTAATCAACGAACTGCAGGTGAGTGGATTAATGCCGCGAAACTACATGAAATAGCGAAACAATTTCCGTACTTTATTGTACCGAAGCGAATCGCAATAGTTCACTTTAATAAAGTTATAAATTCCATTCGATACCCGACGTCGGAGATGGCGGTTGTAAAAACAGGATCGTTTCCGTGGAAGAGGAACATAATTTCAAGCCTGAAACTTGGAAGGGAATTGACTTTTAAGAGATCCTATTTCGATCCTCGTCCCGTTTTCTGTAAATTCTCTAAAATCAAACGCTCTAATTCTAAATTTTTTAAAACTATTCTCGAGCCGCGTGTGGAATCGCGATATTGATATTGATTGTTCTCAATTGAAAATATAACGCTTTATATAACTTTCTCTCTTTTTATAACTCTCCTTTACTGACGCTTCTGAACTTGCAAAATTAATTTTGCATCTGATTTATTTCAAAGAGAGCATTTATAAAGCTGCGGGTCATTGATTCTGTAAACTCGCTGATACAATAATCATTGTTTCTATTTTTAGTGAATTGTAAACACAGAAACAATAAATATGTAAATTTAAAGAACATTGTTGCTAAACTTGTACCAGTTTATCGAATAACGTTTGTATTTCTTCAATATTTATTCATTCCGCCATCCATTCCGCCAACGATAAGTATTAGACTTTAATCTAAATATGATGGATGATCGCTAGAAATTCTATTCTATTTTCCATTTTAGATATTAAGCTATTATTAGATATAAAGTATTTCAATTTGCGGATTAGATTTAAAAAAAAATAGAAACAATCTAATCGTTTAGAAATTATCTCTTTGACAAAATAGAAAAAAATTATATTAATTAACTATTGAAATCATGATCATATTAATTAATGATTGAAATCATGATTGTTATCATCAAAAATACGAAAAATCGAAAAATATCACGTGTCGGATGAGGAGATAGATAATTTCCGATGTTAGATTATGCTAGAATTTTTAAGATAAGCTCGAGTATGATAATAGACCCCCGTCGAGAAGTCGTGCCGGAAAAATACATGCAGCCATTTAAAATTGTGAAAAGGTGCTCCCAATAAATACAGAAATATTTTTCATTCGCAAGTTTGTATGATAATAAATCCTCATCGAGAAATCGTGCCGAAAAAATACATGCAGCCGTTTGGAATTCTAAAAAAGAGCAATGCAGATAAATATAGAAATATTTTTCAAACGCAAGTTTGAGACGAATGACTAAAGACAAAATGCATTTTATCATGGATAGAGATAGACTGTTGCTTCGTTTTCGTTTACACAGTAAGCCGATTAAATACTATCTTCAAATTGTTTTTTTTTATTCCATACGTTATACCGGATCTTGATAAGCCGATTAAACTTACACAAGGATATAAATTTATATGTTTTAAATAAATTAATACAATTCATCTTCTCTTTCCACGTTCAAGAAATATGAGATCAAAGTTGAGAGTTTTTAAACATATGCGTAATAATAGAAAATATAAAGATGAATTGTAATATATTTTAATTATATAAATAATAATTTAATTGTTTATATGTACATTCGTGAATGAAGTAAATTCAATATGTGTTTTTATATATATTTCTTGTAATTAGTTAAAATATTGTCCACATTATATAAAATAAGTCTGTCTCTTTGAAGCACCTGCCTTTATTTTAATTATTCTTGAATATTTACATGATAATGCAATGAGCCCATATATAAGAAAATTAAATTAAAAATTATTACAACTTTGCATAAAATCAGTTCATGCTTTTTGAAACACTCTTTTATTCCTTTTAATAATTAATTCAAAACAGAAAAATCATATCTTTTAGACACATAGTGAGAAATAGCTTCAGATTCTTTCTTCACCTCAGATCTTCCACGTACATACATACATGTATAAATTTTCCCGAGATCGTCGAAATCTGAAATTCAGATTAATCCACCTGAGCTAAGAATAATCACGTATTTCCACTCCTCGCAGATCGGGCAAATCTCGGTGCCCCAATCCATCTTAAAGGCGAGACATTCTCAACTTAATGCAACGTTTTGTACGGGCGTAATATGTATGCAAGTAGCATATGGGTCTTGCTCCCCCCCCTTCTCTCTCTC